TAATCTTTTCCTGTTAAATCAATAAATCAAATCAAATCAAATCAATTTCAGTTCCCTTTGTTGATCTTATTTGAATTACATAAACTTGAGGAAGTAAAATGGAGCACTAGTGTTTGTAAAACTCTTTTGATTTACAAAATTTCATCTATTTTCCAGTCCTAATTTAAAAAAAAATCCCGACTAGCCAGAACCACTGTGGTCATCTTGTGAATTAGCTTTTTTAGGTTTTAACTGTTTTTACTCCTATAATGGCATTAACATGAATTATATGTGCATAGAAGGTAGTACTGTGTAATGTCTGCACAAATTTTTTTATTAGATTTGCTACAAAAAACAACAACAAAAAAACAACAACAAACAAAATAATTTATAGAATCTGCTTTTCCAGACATGATGACATACTTTTTAATGGTATCATTACAGACATGTATCATTACAGACATGCAAGGGCGGTTCTAGGGGCGGAGCCACAGGGGCATTGGCCCCTATTGAACTTTGATTGGCCCCCTGAAGTGCCCCTGTTCTGTCATTTATCTGTCCTTTGCCCAGGAGTGATGATGCTGGATGCAGTTCCATGTCCAAACACTAGAGGCGCTAACAAGACCAATAGTAAAGTCCAGCATGAATAAAGCTGACAGAAGTCTTTTTTTTTTTTAGCAATCCTGCAGAAAAAGTCTTTCAACTCACAAATTATGGCTGGATTCTCTCACATGCTCTGTGTTGGGGAGTATTTTATCTATGTACTGTAAAAATGCATATGAAATTGGTAAGGAGAATGTACTGTGCAAGCTTTTATAAAATACAAGTGTTTAAATGTGCAACTGGTTAAATACTGTATAATACACGTTACCAAAACCAGGGATTTATGTGCAAGGATGCTGAACAAATACTCCTCAATGAATATTGTGGCCCCTTAACACAGAAAAATCCCAGATCCGCCACAGGTACGTTTTATTGTAAAAAGATAGGCCTTGACTGTAACATCAGTGTTTTCCAAGAAGAGGGCCGAGTTTAAAATAGCTAACGAATTGTGCCTCCTACTCTGACCTCCCTGTTTGCAGATAATTCAAAGGTTGTTTCACAGGAAACGGGCCCTGGATAGGGATGGAAACTGGAAGGAAGATGGCTTTTGTTGTATTTTTTTAGGTCAGTTGTAATGCAGCCAAAATCGGTGTTTAGGTTAGGTCTGCTGATGAGGGTCAAGTTCTCCAGAACTGAGCCTGTGTGTCTGTGTTCAACAAGGAACTAATTCTGGTGTAGTGTGCAGTTTTAAAAGCCCCTCGCTGCCCTTATTGTTTTTTTTTTTTCTTTTCTAGCCACTTCAGTAGAAAACAGAACTGAATGTTAGTTTAGTTTCTTCATCAGTGAGTTTTTTTATTTTTTTAATAGAAGAGAAGAAAAAGAAAGAGAAGATTGAAAGAGAGATTAGACATGTGAAATATAAACCAAGAAAACACAAGACAACACACCCGACATCTGTCTGCACACCTGTAAAAATGGAGAAAACAAAAACACAGCAACAAATATATATAATAAACTTTGTTAAAATATATACATACATATACTCATACTATTGGGGTTTTTTCTGCAGCTAATCTCATTTAGGGGAAACACTGAGAAAGAGAATGTTTAATGTAAAAAAAAAATAAATATAAAAAATAAACTTTCATATGCCATAATAAGTAATGCTTTGTGTTTTAACTTTCAGGTTGTCTTCAGGCAAACGTGTATCTTAACATGTATTGAAATGGTTAAAACAATGAGTATTAAATAAAAACACCAGTTTCATTCTCTTATATTGATCTGAAAAGTTTAGGTGTTACAAATGTTTATAGAGATGTCCACAGTTCCCATTAAACACTTCCAGTTTAGTCTGGAAATTTCATTAATACCAACACAACACCAGATTCATATATTATAGTTTAAATGGTTGATGGTTTTTTTCTTTTTACCATTATAATCAAAAGTAAATGTATGRTTTCTTTCATTTTTTGTTAGTCTCAGGGGTTTAGGTAAATGTCTGCAAGCAGTAGAGGTTAAAAAACCACTGTGATTCTTTTTGTCTGGTAAATTTGTATTCACAAATACCAAACACAAGAACATTTGTGTTTGGCAGATTATTTATTTTTTGTAACAATGCATCTTGATAATAAGTCTTATACTGTTAAAAGCCTGTTAATTTCCATTTTAAATGATYCCATGCCACATTTGAAAGGAACATGCATTTTTTTGGATGAAGAGTAGAGCTGACACAAAACACAAATTTCATTTAGAAAAAGGTTTTTGGCAATACTAAAAATGTCTGTGGAAGTATAGAATCTGAGTAAATTAATTTTATATGCTAAATATTAGTTCAGTTGTGTGGAAATTATTTTTTAAAATACTTTTAAGATATATACGGAAGTCGAGAGCAGCCGTTTTCGGCTTGAATAATAATAATGAGGAGCATTTTCTCGAAATAAAGAGTTAATTTCCAGCCTGGTCCCCTCAGCTCTTCATTGATGAAGTTTTCTTTCTTTCTTTCTTTCTTTCTTTCTTTCTTTCTTTCTTTCTTTCTTTCTTTCTTTCTTTCTTTCTTTCTTTCTTTCTTTCTTTCTTTCTTTC